ATTAATAATAAAGACAGCATAAATTAGAGTTAGTAAAAAGAAAAAAAAAAATAACAGGACTCACCAGTCACGCAGGACAGCGACGAACCGCTGCCCGGTGGCAACGCAAACCCGCACCCGCAACGAGTCGCGGGGGTAGAGCTCCTCGCAGACGGGCGGAGGGGGCACAGGAGACCTCTCTATGCAGATCGCTTGAACACGGGGACGACACTCCCCCGTCCAGACGACCACCTGGACGTCATCCTTAAGGCTACCCGTTGGGCCGCCAGGCAGTATGACCGCCGCACGCATTCACCACACATGATGGGAACATGTTCCCGACCACACCTAGTGCACTGCATGATGGAAAATAAAGAAACAAAAACCCGTCCACGACGCGCGATAGACCACGGTCGACGGCAGACTGAACAAAATAATTTATAATGTTAAACGTAGCACACAAAAAATGCACGACGAGGATTCACGGAAAAGTAACCTGAACCCTAAACTTGCAGGATGCTCCTTATGTGGAGAAGAGCAGGACAAGCGACACCTGACTCTCGGCATAATCTTGACTGGGAATTGTTCTCGCACCAGCCAGGAATCTACTACGAGGAAATCGGTCAGCTGAGACAGGCTGAATCGGCATGGAAATTAGTGATAAAACTGAGCGCAAAAGAATTAGATCAGACATCAGCAATTGCAAGACTATATGGAGGAAACCGCAATACAGTGCCGAAAAGTAATAGGCAACGCCCAGTTAGGTTGCCGAAACATTATGAGGATAATAGAAAGAAAAAACACCAAATTGATCACGCTGTTGACACAAGTAGAAACGCTATACAAAACGACTGACAAACGACGAGGACTGCTAGATGCGGTCGGGTCGGTCAGCAAAATATTATTCGGAACGATGGACGCCGACGATCAGAAACTAATAGACGAGCAACTGCAAACGTTACGAACAAACGACAAGGTACTGCAGCACGCAGTAGCAAATCAAATAAAAGTAATCAACGCCACAATAGCGCACTTGGACGAATTAGAAAATACTCTAAATTATAATGAAAATCTGATAATGAGTGCGACAAAACGACTAGAACAACGATTGTTGACCGAGTCAACACTACAGGCAGACGTAGACGAACACTTACTAATCCTGACAACGATAATGAACGATTTAACAAAGGACACGGAAAATGTAATAGACTACCTGACATACGGGAAAAACGGAATGATACCGACACGACTACTACCCATCAAACATATAATAACAGCCCTCAAAGAAGCGGCCACACAATTACAAATGGGATTACACTTTCCTTTTAAAATCCAGATTGAGCACTGGCAGACCATACACACATACATCACTTTTAGCGCATATTCAGATGGTCCATACATATACACAATCTTGTGATTTCCGGTAGTAGCATACCCTATATTTAAACTAGTTAAAGCAATACCGTTACCAGTACACGATCATGCGAATGTATTCGCCTACATAAAAATAAACCATCCCTTGCTAGCTATAGATAAAGAGAATCACCACTACAAATTACTAGAGGAAGTAGAGTTAGAACGCTGCATACGAGAAGCAAACACATACACATGCGAACAGAACTTCGCGACATATTATGCGGAAACAACAGCACCATGCGAGGTGCAAATATATACACATACACCGGGACAGCTCAATTACTGCGAAAAGAATCATATGATATCTAACACATCGTTGTGGATAGCATTGACGGAGGAGCAAGCGTGGCTCTACTCCACGGCACACAAGCAAGAAATTAGCATTAAGTGCGAAAAGCAAATAGAAAAGAAAATTATATTAGAAGAAACCGGAAAAATAAAACTAAAAGATAATTGCAAACTAATCACACCAAACGTAATATTAAAAGCACGAAAAATTGAGGGAATAAAATATATTCAAAACTACCTCTCCGAATACAATATAACATTAGAAATAAAAAATAAAGACACCGATAAGAATAAGCTAGCGAAAACCGACACGTTACGACAAATAATTAAGAACCCCGTAGATTTAACCAAGTTAAGCATAAGTCTAGAAGAAATAAGAGAAACTCTAGAAGATAGCGATTATAACTTACTCAAAAATAAATATACTCTATGGGAACAGGTATCTGCGTAGTAATAATAACTATAGTAGGATTAATAACATGGCGCACAAACAAAAACAAAAATAAAAAGCAAAAGAAAAGCGAGACCGCACAGAGGCGCCGCGACGATGCTATGTTATATTAGTCATAAGCACACGATTATATTACAGTTACACGACACATATGTAAACTAACAAGTAAAATCACCTTCCATCGAAGGGAGGGAGGGATGCCGCGAGCGCCAAGTAAGGGACACATGGAAGCCGAACCCCCATGGTTCCCTTCCATCAAAGGGGGAGGGATGTCGCGAGCGCCGAGAACGCAATCACGCTCACCGCTGACAAAGCGGATTGCGGCAAGCGATACTTTATCCGACGAATTATTATTTTACCAAGCGATAGCGATTACCAACGCTACCGTGCTAATCGCGCAAATATTGTGTAATCGTTCCACGTGAAGCAACTGTTAACCGGGTTGCGCGGCCCTTACGCGGAAAACCGCCGCGCGACCCAGAAATATTCCGCGAACGCTGACGAACGTTGATGACACGGCAAGGACCGGCCGCCTGGAACAGGATAAAAACGGAAGACCGATACTAGGAGGGGACTCGTCGAGATCCGCCGTGCCGTCACGTCCGTCGCGGTCCGAATTAAAAAGGACAATCTGTATCAAATGTTAATAAAATTTATTGGTATTAAAACAAAGTGGTGAGTGCCTCTTTCCCGCCGACTCCTTGATCGATCCCCGAAACGACCCGCACAACACAAAAAGTAATTAAAATTAATGACATTAAATTAAAATTAAATTTTTAAAGATATTAATATTTCTTTATAGAGATTTTTCAAATTATTATAATAATTACAACCTTATTTACAAAAAATGTACAGATATAATTAAATAAATAATTTTTTTGAACATCTACTAACAAAATAATTACAAATACGAATACAAATTTTTATAAAAATTTTAATAAAAAATTTAAATAAAAAAAATATATACGCGATAGGATTTGAACACGCGATCTACGTCGTACAAAGCCAACGCCTTACCGCCTGTGCTACTACTGTTCTTGCTCAAGAGTGATGATTAAACATATAAAACGTTTCACCCGTATATCAGCCGACTAGACTAATTTTTTTAAAAATCAATTTCTTCGAAACTATGGGCCATTGGCAAGAACGGCCGGACGTATCATTTTTTTTTCGCTCAAGAACAGTCTATATAAAGTGCATCAAAATACCCCGATCAGTCAGCTGGTGTTCCCCTTGTTAGTGGAAAACTAAGATTCTCTGCCACAGAAATGTCATATTTCGTCAGATATTTTGGGTTAATTATTGATGATTTAATTCCCAAAGAAGATGATTGTTGGCTTCGTTATATAAAACTCAAATCAATCGTGGATATTATTACAGCTCCTTATGTTAATATTAGATCGTTAAATTACTTTGTTACTTTGATATCAGAACATCATGAAATGTAAATCTTTTCCGATATGACTCTAAAGACTAATTTGAATAAATAAGGTTCCCAATATAAGAATCTAAGAATGAAGTATAATGGCAATAAGAACCCAGCACAGTATTAAGAGCGCATATAGGTGTATTATATTAGGTGTACAAAAAAGTTCTGAGCTTTTTTTTGTAAAATTCAATCTTTATTCAAAAACAAACAAAAAAATATTAATGAACGAAATATTCCCCGTTTGCATCAACGATCTTTTGCATCTTTTGGATAGCTTGCAAATTTCTTGACGATAGAAGCTCACCGGCTTCGAAGCGAAAAAGTCATCAATGCATTTTCGTATCTCTTCAAATCTCACGAAATGTGTATCAGCCAAATGATGCTGCAGCGACCGGAATAGGTAATCGGAAGGCGCCATGTCTGGGCTATACGCCGCGTGCGGGAGAAGTTCCTAGCCTAACGCAAAGATATAGTCCTCAGTCGCTTTCGCAACATGTAGTCGAGCATTGTTATGAAGCAAGATCACTTTACGACGTCCTTGGCTAATAAATGGTCTCTTTTCTTCTAATGCATCTCTCAAATTGATCAATTGTTGTTGGTAGCGATCTGCCGTGATTGTTTCATCTGGTTGTAACAACTCGTAATACAACACACCTTTCCAATCCCACCAGATGCAGAGCAAAACCTTCTTGGCGTAGATATTGGACTTTGGCGTCGATGTCGAAGGTTGATCAGGATCAACCCATGATTTTCTACGTTTAGGGTTATCATAAAGAATCCACTTTTCATCGCCTGTAATGATTTTGTGCAGAAAATCTTTTTTCCGGAACTTTGAAAGCAAAGTGAGTGCAGTGTCACGCCGACGATTTTTGTTGTCTTCGGACAATTCATGCGGAACCCATCTGCCTTCCTTCTAAACTTTTCTCATCGTATGTAAACATACGGAAATGGTTTGCTGCGTAACGCCAAGCTGTTCTGCAAGCTCCTTTTCAGTTTGCGCAGAGTTTATATCCAGCAGTGTTTGCAATTCGTCCGTTTCAATCTTTTGAGGGCGTCCAGCACGCGGCTCATTTTCAAGACTGAAATCTCCCTGGCGAAATTTTTGATACCATCTTTTACATATAGTATGACTTACAGCGTTCTCTCCATATGCAGCACAAATCATTGCAGTGGCTTCAGCAACATTTTTCTTCAGATGAAACGCGAAGTAGATGGAAAATCGAATATGCTCTTTTGTTATTGCCATCGTAAACACGACTGATTTTTGAGGTTATATGCATCAAACGCCAAACCGTATGGCATTTTAGAAGACCAAATGTCAACGCTTTAAAACGGCAAAAGGGCGGGAAGATATATAAAATTTAAATTGTTATTTCAGTTATATGAAATCTAAAGCTCAGAACTTTTTTGTACACCTAATATAATCAATATGACATAAAGCGTAGAGCGAAGTGTAACATAACACGTAGAGCGGACGTTTCGACTAATCTTTTAGCCTTCATCAGCGCAAGAGTTAACATATACAGATAAATATAATTAAACAAAAGACGTATCGCAAAATCTTAGTCATTGTGGCCGCAAATGTCGAAGTTCGTAAAATCGGAGATCTCTCACATTACAATCTGTATCTTCAAGGCATATGACAGTAATTGCTAGGATAGCCAATTCCTCGATTACAGGGTCGAAAGTTGAGAAATCCTAACATTGTACAAGCATGAAGTTATGATGCATTTACAATAATGCTTGTAAATGATTAGGCTTTTATGCGAGACGATGTGAGAGAATGCGCAAATTCCTTTAAAAAAGATTACTTACAAATAACTTCAGAGCTCATTAACGGTAACTCATTCGGCTAACTTAATTACACTCAGCGCAATGAATCTTAGACAGTCACTGACAAATAAATGAAATCACCGTAATTCTGTGGCACAAATGACTGTTGTCAACCAGGCAATCGAGAGTCACAAACAATCTCTTTCGGAAAAGTTAACAAAAAGAGTCGAAAAATAATAATATACATATAAGAAAGACAAGAGTGTACGTAACAAAATGAGATGGTCAAATCGTAATAATAATATACCTATGAAAATATATAAATGTATATAATAAAAATGATACAATAACGGAAATAAATAATATAAGACGAGTATAAAAAACGCTAGGTATATAAATGGGCTAAAAACATATTATTGAACAAAATTAGATTTATGCTACATGTCGCTGCAGATAAAATGTACGTGTCAAATGATAGAAAAGGAATAATAAATAGAA